GCTTTAGAATATCGATACAGTATCGGGAAATGAAATATTGCGATATTTCAGTGCATTGATATTTTCTTACATGCCGAGCGTTGACAGAGAGGAGAAGGTAGAAATGACTCAGCCTGGAACTGAAAATATGGATGGAGGACAACAGAGCTGCTTCATGGAAGAACAACCTCAGCTTAGCCTGTTAGCTTTAACTTTAGCCCAGACGCTATCACCATATTTATGCATTAGCTCAGCGCTACACATTCTCCTCTCGTCACTGAGGTCCTCCATCCACATGACAGAGATGGGAACACAAAATGGCTCAGCCTGCAACTGAAAATAAGGATGGAGGACCTCAGTTTAGCTTGTTAGTTTGTCACGCTAGCGCCGAGATAATACATATAAGGCAATATACTGTATTTTTTAAATTATAAAAACTAAACATCCTACAGTATTTTTACAGTGTTTATTTTACAGGTAAAATATATTTTTATCAAATAAAGTCTAATGTTACAACTAATCAGGGATCCCTTTAACATGTCAGAATCGGTCATGAACTAAACTTTTCTTCAAACAGATCAATGTGACTCACTGTCAGGGGTGCAGTCGGTGAAGAGCGGCACCAGCAGAGGAACGTTATCGATGTTCTTCAGGTGGGGACGAACCTGGTGGATCCCACGAGGTAGTTTGGCCTGAGAACAACCAGGAGCAGAGAGAAATAAAACACACCATGATCAGACCAAAGCTTTGATGAAGAAACACCCAGCAGCAGCAGCATGAAAAAATAAATATCGGTACTCTGTTGCAGTCCTCCAGAAAGCTGGGCACATCACTGTCTGTGGGCTGGAAGCTGGTCAGGTCTGAGTGGGCCTCTTCCTCCTGCAGCAGAGGACCTTCAGCTTCATCACGAGAATCTGCAGAAACAATGTAAACATCAGGACATTTATCAGGACTCTGTGTTAGTCTGAACCATAGATACAGTCAGGCATGTGTAGGGATAATTTGGGTATATTCTAAAATGGATAATTTATGAATTATTTAAATCAACAAATTGTCTAACCTCGAGGCACCACTTCCCTTTTATTTTGTTATTTGTACACAGGAAAGAGAAGAAAAAACTGTAACTTTACTGTAACCAGTCTCAATAAATCTACCCAAAATTGTTTGATGAGTCCTTTTCTTATCAAAACCTATAAAACCTTATCAAGACACAGAAAATTAGGCATTGTCTCATATTGACCAGTTCTCCACAGGTCATTTATTCACAGATTAAATGTATTTACAGCTATGGCGAGTAGGAAATGATGACATTCTGAACCAGAAGAATACAGAGATATTTGAGCAATGAGTGAATAGCAAAACACACAAACAAATAAACAAACAACAAAATAAACACTAAAAGGGTTTTTGAGGCTGGAGTGCAGTAAGGGGAGTTTTGCTTTAGCTGAGAATTTAACTAAGGGATCCTAGTTAAAATTAGGGAGAGAAATCGTTTAGATTAACAAATCTCATACAAAGATAAAGATCAACTCTAAACTGAGCACCTTGTCTGTCACCAGTAAACTGTTATCTTCCATACCCTTTCATTCTGCTGATTGCGGTACCAGAAGTAGGCGTCGGCTGACTAAAGAATCTCAGGTGATGTTTCCCAAAGAGCTGCTTCAGTGTAGTGGCCGGTCGGACACTCAGGGTGTCTGTTCAGCTTCTGGCCCTTCAGTCGGAAAGGTGGGTGGTGAGCTGGTGAAGAAAGTGGGAAGACTTTGTCTCTCCGTTGGATGCTTCAGAGCGAGAGTTGATCCAGTCTTTGTAGAGGCAAAACTGACTAAAACGACGTATGAGTTAAATTAGCTGATTTAACTTCTATTAAAAATCAAAGCTCGTGTTGAGCTGACGTGAAACGGTAGCTGTGAGTCCAAACCAGCGGTAGATGCAAAAGGACCACAGTCCTGCCCAGTCCATGGGGGAAGAGCTGACAGGCAGTGCCTCTGCTGAGCTTCTGAAATCTTCCAACTCACTCTTCTTTTCTTCTTCTTTCGGGAGTGCGCTGACTTTTTGAATACCTTTGTTTTGGGCGGAGTTAAGTTGTTAGTTGGCCAATAAAAATGTTACATCTTTTACAGGAAAAGGGTCTCAGCGAGTCAAATCTGTTGGAGGTAAAATTTTACTTTGAAAACAAAAACAAGGAGGGTTTTAGTTTGATTATCTCGCATCTAATTAAAGAGGGGGAGACAACTGCTTGCCTCAGTAAAATAAGAGTGTCACACTTTCAATTAAAAATTCAAGTCCTAAAGTTTCTCTAAGGATTAAACATTTATAAAACACAACATAATCTTCAGAAAAACATTTCATCAAAACAATTAACACCACACAGTTATTATACTGAGTCCTTAGTCTGTAAGCACTTAGTTAAAAACGAGAACACAGTAGAGCTTCGATGAGTTTCATTTTTTCTGTAAAGAGAAACAAGTAAAATCACATTTCTTTGGCTACGTTCACACTGCAGGTCNCAGTAATTTCACCACATCTAACTGCTTTTAATTCTGATCCATGACAGAATAAGTCAAGATAACTATGGCTGTGTCCAAAACGGCAGGACGGGTCCTCCGAAGG